CGACGAGGAACCCATATCGGGTTCCTCACAAGGAACCCAGCTGGGTTCCTCCGGAGGAACCCGATCTGGGTTCCTTGGTTCCATGAGGAACTCGACTCTGGGTTCCTTGCGATGAGGAACCCAGATCGGGTTCCTCCCGAACCCAGAGCAAATTTTTTTATTTTTTTATTTAAGTAAACCACGTCATCAAAAAAGACATCCACGTTGAATTACTAACGGCATATATTAGCCACGTCAATTTTTGAGTGCCACGTAGTACATTTTGTAACGGTACCGTGACGGCGCGTTAAAATGTTGGGTTTTTTACGGGTTTTGAAAAATGAAAGGTGTGAATAGGGAGAAAAAATTCTGGAATGTGTTGACCGCGGAAAAAAAATAAATGGAGGGTGCAAATAGGGGCTTTGGCCTTCTCGTTTCATATCCATTGTTTTTTTTTTTTTTTTTTGGGCAACTCTTGTTCATCTTGTTTTCACAGACAACTCTAATTTCTTAGATTTCAATTGATTTCCTTCTTCCCCTCTCATATTTCACTATTTTTTTACTTTGATTTACTTTGAATTTTGATTAATTATGGGTGTTTGAGGGATGCAGGGAAGAGTTAATTGTTCAGGGTTCTTTTGACTACTTCTTCACCATTGTCTTCGAATCCATTAAGCGAGGAGGTCTAGCTTTTTGTGCGCATGGGGCTGCACTTGAGGCAGTGAGGAAGATTCAATTTTTTGTGCGCTTGGGACCGCCATTTCATTGCTTTTTCGTGTTGTGACTTCCACTTGGTGTGAAAAAAAAAAAAAAACAATGGATATAAGGTGAGAATAAATAAAACGACATCATTTTATTAATTTTTATTTTTTAATTTTTGAAAGGTAAGATTAACCGATATCATTATCATATATTTATAAATATATATAAGAATAAATCCATGAAGTTAGTATTTATTAGTCTTGAATTTATATTTAGCAGTTGAAATCTTAATTTAAAATTCAAAAATTCTATCAAATTTTAAATTTAAATATTAATATTTAATAATATAATTTTTTAAATTTTAAATTAAATTTTT